GTCAACTATTTGATCAAAAATACCAAAAATAATTGTACCAGATTTTTGTACTTTTATAAATTTTTCAATAATAGGTATTGATTCACCCAAGTGAAAAGTTACAAAACAAAAACTTGATACATCCTCAGTTTCTTCACATTTTGGTGAACATAAAGGCCAATTTATAACACAATGAATATTTTCACATACCAAAATTTCATTAAATAAATAACAATTTTCATACTCTTCACTATAACAAGATGATTCATTATGTTCAAAAATTGTGTTTAAATTACTATTACATTGTTTTTCTGTATTGCATTGTGATTGAACAGGAACTGCTTTGCGGCCTAATCTTTTTTTTTTTTACTTTAGAAGAAAGATAAGCTGGTCCTGGAAAAATTGATGGCACAGCATCTTCTCTGCGTTTAATGACCTTATAATGACCTTATAAGGTATCTGTGAGATAAAGATTAAATAAGTTAATACATAAAATAATACTGTATAGTGTACAGGTAAAACTTTATATTAAAAACTTAAACAATGTTTTGAACAATCATTTATCAATATTTTTAATAGGTAGCCAACATTTTTGAATTATTCAATATAGAAAATAAAATATTTATTTGTTTAGTAAAACAAGTGAAATAAAAATAATAAAATAATTTGAAAAAAAACAAAATACAGCCAATATAGGTAATAATATGATAAGACATGGGTACCTAACCAAATTATTGAAAAATAAAATTAATAATTTTGATTTAATTCTTAAATATAATATAATTTGTAACCATTAATGGTATACTTATCTTAGAATATGCATTATATTAGATAAATTGTTTCCCAGGTAAAAAAGAAAACAGCAAATACGTAATTTGAGTAGGTTTTACATTATTTTGTTGCTAGTAATAATGTGTTTTATGAAAAATAATAAAGCTTATGTATACCTAAGTAACTCATAGTAAATAAGTAATAACTATTAATAAGTAGATAAATAACTTATCTATGAAGCATACTAACCTTAACTAACAATTGGTCACTAGAACCGGACTCCCAAAAACGTATTAAATGTTGTTCAGCAAAATGTTTTGAACACACATAATGCTTTTCTGACACTATAAAGTTTTTTCTTGGGATCGCTTTTGACCACTTTTCACGTAATTCTTTATTTTTTGGAACCGAAAATTTAGTTACTTTATCATGGTTGTTCCTACAACCTGATTTACAAAATACTACACAACACTTCACCATTTTTATAAAATTCAAAATTAAAATTGTCTATTATTAATATGAACTATAAAATATAAACTTTTTTACAAAAACACGTGTAATCCTATATTATGCATGTTACGTTGGGGCCAGTGACTACTGGCGCTGGTAGTTCGCGCGTATACCGTCTGCGACCACTGATAAAACGCTCGTTATCCAACCTGAGTAGATAACCGTGGTTACTAGTAAGTCGAAAACCTCAAACCGTTGAAAAATTGTGTTTCCCTTGAATAACGACTTATCGAGGTTTCACTGTATATTTAAAATGCGTTTTTAAACCGACGTGTACATGCACAAACACTGTTAAAGTACTGTACAACGATGATCGAATTAAATATTAATAATTACTAATAAGTGGTGGCGTAAATGGTTTGCCTTCGGAATCCGTTAAATACTCTAACATCACTTCAAACCCTTGCTTATATACCAACTTATATAACCCTGTTTCTATCATAGATTTTAATAATAAATTCCTAAGAAAACAAAAATGACGAATTTGTTGAATTTGACACATTGGAGACGACAATGTTTTAATCCATTGTTACGTTGAGGATGAGTGCCGTGTCTAACACGGTCATAGTTTTTTAGTATCGGAGACGATGCTACTTTTATACATCGCAACGTTGAGGACGCTTATCGCGTTTAAAACGGGCAATATTTTTGCGTCTAAAAGACAAACACCGTGTATTACAAGAAATCGTTTAAGTATATCGACATTTAATTTATATTAAATTATAATATAAATTGTATTATAAATATCGCAATACCAACAATTGTATCATAATTATGTGGTTGACATTATTTCCCTATCGACCATTGATTGCGTACGATGTCCTGGGCGTTAAATTCTATATTTTAAATATTGTTGGCTTGTTTTATTTATTTTTTTTTTTGTTATTATCATTCGTATTATTAATTTATATACCAACTAATTAATAATAATACTTGAAATAATTCACTATGGATTGCATTAATGACGATAAAATCGTTCATTTATTATTAAATATATATTAATAGAATATATTATATATTCATATATATTAATGAATGAATTTGCGGAGGACAGTGGTTCTTATTATGAAGGAAAAAATGTTAATTTTAAAAAAGGTGATAATTTATGTTTATTGATATTTTAATTATTAAATTGTTTGTATACAAAGAATAAAATGTGCATCTATTTATTTTTATGATTACAAAGTTATAGACATTACATATATCGCGTGTTTGCGGAAAAATAATATTATCAAAACGCAAGAATTATATCATTATTTTTTTTAGTCCTTTGCTCCTACTATAAAAAAAAAATTATAGCTAGTATTATAATCGTATTTATAAAAATACGACAAGATAAAATAAAATATTTATCTCGGTCAACTTTTTGTTTTGACTATTGGAACTGTCGTAATAGGCCGTATATTACAGATATCGGATTTTAGATAATCATATTTATTTTTAGACCTATTTTTAGATCAATACTCAGAGAGTTCGATGAAAAAAATAAGAAGTTAATCGGATTATTCAATAACTACTAAAAAAATACAGAAAACATGTGTGAAAATTGCGGTAAAACGAATATAGTCGCGTTTAGACGGTCGTAGTAACTCGAGTTTTGGACTTAGAGCTCTGCAAGTGGTATGGTTGCATTCGGGGGGGCCTCAGCTATCTGGGCTTTATATTGAAAAAAATCCCAAGTGTCTAGGACGGCCGTCCGGCAGCTTAGTATAAGATTTTCTTCATCGCAATAGCTAGGGATGATCGGGGGATGGTCGTTTTTTCGCAAAAAAATCGAGAGGTACCCCCCTGTTGAGAACTTTTATCATTTCCCGGTTAGTCCCGCGGTAGACCAACAATGCACAATGAGATCACCGTAATACACATACATTTGTTTTGTGTGGCTAATATAGTGCTCCGGGTGAGTCTAAGTACAGTGCACAGGGTGAGTCTAAATATACTTAACCGGGTGAGTAAATATAATGTGCCGGGTGAGTCTAAATATACTTAACCGGGTGAGTCTATATATACTTAACCGGGTGAGTCTATATAATATGCCGGGTGAGTTTAAATATACTTAACCGGGTGAGTCTATATAATGTGCCGGGTGAGTCTAAATACAGTGCGCCGGGTGAGTCTAAATACAGTGCGCCGGGTGAGTCTATATACAGTGCGCCGGGTGAGAAAGACAGCAGATAAGTATGGTGTTGCTATCTTTTTTTATCACACTTATCAATATGATTGCTTACCAATAAATAATAATAATATTCATAAAAAAATTCCAAAAAGAAAGATGGAAAAGATTTAATAATCCTAGACCACTGTCCAATACTACGTTACCATCTTCAGCCCCACTTGAAAAGCTCTTTAGAAATTTAATTTAAATTTTAACTCCAAGAGGCTAGATAAGAAGATTAAGAAGATAGGTTGAGTCACAGGACGTTTGAGATGTTAATGTGTTTAAAATCAAACAAATTTAATGTATAGTTGTATTTATTTGGACATTAATTAAAGTGATTCTGATATATTTTTTAATACACAAATCTTAATCATGTATTGAACATTAAAAAAAAAAAAATATATATATATAGTTTACACATTAAACTAGTCAGTGTCCGAAGATCGTAGCAAGTACCCTGGGCTACCGTCCCTGCGAGTTTGATGAGTCTGCTTCAAATATCACGAAGACGGTGATCTCATTGTGCATTGTTGGTCTACCGAGGGACTCACCCGGCAAATGATAAAAGTTTTCAAAGGTACTTCTCGATTTTTAGTCGAAAAAACGACCATCCCCCGATCATAGCTATTGCGACCCTGTGAAGGAACCTATAGACTCTGTGTTACCGAGGTTTGAAACCGTTCTCACCATCATATCGTGTTATACATCGATCCGCGCACAGTACTACACTATATTAAGGATTGCACCCCCGCGCCGGCTAAACTTCTCCGCCCAAATACTTCCAAAGTATTAATTTCCCCTGAAATTTGAAAGCGGCAAACTACTCAGCGGATCGTGCTCTATAGGATTCAAGTATAGGAGATGATTACGGTAGGAAGTCCGAACATCTGGCTATGGACTTGATATTAACGCAGCCTGTTACAGGGAAAACCAAAACTCCAACGATCGTCACCGGCTATTGCCGACTGCCATCTGCTTTATTTCCTTAACTCACTGATAACAGATTAAATCAATTGATTTAGTATATGGTTACTTTCATTTAATTTTTTTTTTGTTTTTTATTAAAAATTTAGAAATGTCGGCCAAATTAAGAAAAAAATTAAATTGTGAGCGGTTTTCGGTTATTACGTAGACTTAGAGCTGATATATATATTTCATTATTATTTATATTATTATTAGGTATTTCGTAATTGGCTTCTGTAGAATTAGATGTTTTTACTGTGTTTAGCAATGACATGCATTGCAAGCAAAACGAAGCAAATATTCCGTTACCTAACCTAACCTAACCTAACCAAATTATTGACAAATTAATTCAGAAAAATATATTTGACACCATCTTATTTGCAGACTGTAAGTACCTTACCTACCCATGGGAGCACACGAGTTGCGTCCCGTAAAAAAGATATACACGAATTGCGTCCCAAAAAATCAAGGACGCAATTCATGTATTTTAATCAAGGGTTCTTAAACAACTAACAAAAATAAATAAATAATAATATTAACGTTAATAATCAAAATGTCAGTCAAAAAATTGTTTATCAAATGTAGTAAAAAAGTAAATAAACATTAAATCACTTAGATCTAGTCAAAATCAATATAGGTAGTCCATAATATAATAAATAAATAAATAATAATCATAATAATAACAATAATGTTAGTAATCAAAATGTCAGTCGAAAAATTGTAAATAAACGTTAAATCACTTAGATCTAAACAAAATCAATATAGTCCATAATATAATAAATAAATAAATAATAATCATAATAATAACAATAATGTTAGTAATCAAAATGTCAGTCAAAAATTAGGTTTATACTTATTAGATAAGCTTTTTACAAAATGTAACCTTGTTATTTTATTTTCATTTAGTTTTTTTATCTGATTTTCAACAAATAAAATGTTGTTTCGGCGTTGTTTTCTATATTGACGTATAGAAATTAGCGAGCTTCTAACTAACACTACAGTATCGGTTTGAATTATCTTTAAAACATCTAAAAATGTATAAATATTTGGATGGGAACTATTAAAAAAACTATTAAATTTTTTGTGAAAAGACTCACACGCGTTTGTAGTTCGCTGTAAACTTGAACTCTTTTCTGCCCATATTGATGGAGGGAATAGTGATTCTTCTGAAATATAGTTGTTGACTAAATAGTCAGCAAAATCTACAATTTTAGAATCAACCGGTTGTATTTCTGATAGTTCAAATGAAAAAAAATCACCAACTTCATCTGGACTCAAAAACGATAATCCAAAAATATATGATAGATAGTTGCCAACTTCTCCATTCGTCCCATATTCTTTAGCTAAGCCCAGGTCTTGCATCTTTCGCCACCATGATTGTCCTAGGTGAAATCGGCATCCTTTTATCAATGTTTCTGGCCAAATTTTCTGAATTGCCTTGTGAATAGAAACTTCAAAGTCAACATAAATTACATCAATCTTAAAATCTTGGCACAATTTTGAACATTCTAAATCAATAGCTTTAAATGCTTTGGAGTAAGAAATAGTTTGCTTATCTTTTAACAAAAAATATACTAATGGCACGTAATAATTGTTAAAAAGGCCATGAACTGTAAATAATTGGCAAAAATATTTTGTACAATATTCAAACGTGCCATCGACATACACTGTTTTAATTTTACTTAAAAATTCTAAATTTGATTTACATGTAAACATTACTATACCATTAATAGAATCGTTTAAAAACAAAAAAGGTTCATTTTCGTTTGTAATACAGTCGATAGCATTTAATGCTGAATGGACAGTTAAAATATTTGTTGGTAATTTTGGTAGTTGTTCACTTCGAGCTCGATATAAATTATTTTTTATATAGCGAATATCTGTAATTGTTAATGTACTTTTAACACTGAAATCAATACTTTCTTTTAAATGTCGGTGCATTAGTTTAGCAGGTCTTTCATATAACTCTTGTGTACCTTTTCGCTTAAGAGAATTACTTACAATTTGTCGATTTATTACTGCTTCAGATAGTGCATCGTGGCTGTGGTCAGTATCACTCACGTTAAGTAAAATATCATCATTTTCGTTAATTTTTAAATATGCTGTACACGTTTTAACGGTACATTTCCAACGTTGAATATTATTAGCCAAACATTTATGAAAACAGAACTTATATTTGTCAATTATTTTCAAATGTTTTTGTTTTTCACTAATAATATTTTGCACTTCCATTTTAAAACGTAGGTATACGAAAAAGTAACGAACGAAGACTGAACTGCAGTAAAATATATACTAAACTCAACAGTTATTTACAGTAGATACTGTACCTAATCAAGTATTTTATATCAGCTTGGTAAATCCAGAGCATTGTGAAACTAAATGCTATACACACATATATATAATACAAAGCTTTACCGATATAGTATAGGTAGAATAGAGGTGGTATTTTATTGTTCACGATTACGATAAACGAACTTGCTATCGTAATTTATATTACTATCAAAACATAATATTAGAGCCCAGGCTATCTTATAATAATTAACACACCACGGAGAACCCCTGAAAACAAAATAAAACACTACTACCTAACCCATATATAGTGGGACGCAATTCGTGTATACCTTTTTTACGGGACGCAACTAAGGTGCCCCGCTACCCATAACGACCAAAATCGCGATAATAGGTCTTTTCGTTCGGGAGGATAGCAAATTTGTGAGAGTATAGTTCACGTCACCTGGAGTCCATTAATACCATTTTCATAGCTGTAGAACGATATTCTGATTTACAATGAATTTTATCTATGGAATATGACAGCGTTCACAAAATCAGGGACTAAAATTGTGTATAGTACGACACACATTGTGTAGTACGAAATGTCAAGTGTGTAATACGAAATTAAAAAGTGTACTACTCTATCTACATAATCTGCGGCAAGGTTAGAATATTATCGGCTCAGTTTCAACTACAATAACAAATAACGGTAACCCACTCGTTTTGGTCCCCTTTATCTTTAGTCTCCACGTTTATCCTTATCATGCACCACCAAATAAATGATAAAAAAATGTTAACGTTGTTTTTACTAGTAAGGTACTGTTATCTAGCGGTAAAATTAAGAACTAAATAGCTCGTTACAATAGGTGTAATTGCCCCCGCGCACACATAACTTCCTCACCCGAAAACTTCCAAGATATTCATTTCCGCAAAAATTTGAAAAATGATTAATGCTCAGCGTCTCGAACTCTACAAGTTTGTGGTCTTAAAGTGCCAATTTTCGAAAAGGAAATCATAGGTGCTCGCCGACAATATGTGGAAGAGGCCTAGTGAATTGCCAGGAGATTATTCCGGACCCTTTTGAATATCTCCGGCGAGCACCTATGATTTCCTTTTTGAAAATTGGCACTTTAAGAACTCAAACTTGTAGAGTTCGAGACGCTGAGCATTAATCATTTTTCAAATATTTGCGGAAATGAATATCTTGGAAGTTTTCGGGTGGGGAAGTTATGTGTGCGGGGGGTCGTAAGTATTACGTATACACACCGCGGTCTGTATCATGGAAATATCTACGTATCGTTATTCTTTTATAATACGATATCTCGATAAATACTAGTCATACAGACTTTTGTGCATGATTCAATTATGATTCTTTGGGCAATTAAAATCCGATTTACAAGTCTCGGACCAATCGGTTCAATATCATGCGAATTGACTTTGGCAATTGCGAGTACGCGTGTACAATCTCCGGCAATTTCCAGCCATCCGATCCTGGACTTCAGGGTTTTTAATATTTTTACACGAACCTAGCAGGGATGGTAGCCAAGAACATTTGCAATCTATCAGTGAAGGTTTCAAATCGGTGGTCCTATTATTCGGTATTTAATTAATTTTTTTCATAGAAATGTGCACAGTTGCCTGGTGATTCCCGTGCGATCGGCCGACAGAGAAACGATCAGGAACGATATAGTAAATTACATAATGACTAGGCCAAATCTACTAACTAGGATATGGCGATTGAAATTGATAAGATGTAACGGGGACGCTGATAATTGATAAGCTTTCAATCACCAATAGACGATACCACGGTTTAAGACACAAGACACAATAAATAATTCAAATTTAATACCATCCATTACAGTGATCCACTTGTAACCTACAGTACAGCAGAGCGACATCCACTTACCCACCTTTTTTTACATGAATGTGGTTAAGAATGCGCGGGGGCAATTAACAAATTTAGAAAAAATGTATAAAATCGACCCTATCACCTACCAACTTGAAATTTACATATGTCGTTACTAGTACCCTTAGCTACCATCCCTATGATTTCGGAAAGCGTGACACGATAAACGTCAAATATGCGTATAACTATACGCGAAAACCTCTACACTAGGATATAAAAGAAACAAAGTTCTATAACTTTGGCAATACACAGGCTAAAGGGACTTGAACAACGTCGTGAGTGCTGGTGATGACCGGGATAGTTGTGGGTTTTCATCAACATATCTTTGAGAACTTACGAAAAAACAAACTGCAATGCTTTGTTTATTAATACTTTCTGAATGGCCATGTTAAATATTGAGTTATTCCAAAGTCAGTTCTATTTGTTACACCCTGTATATGTTTGTAATTTTTCTTTTATTTACATAATATTAAATTAATATATTTATATTATACTAGCTGACCCGGCAAACGTTGTTTTGCCATATAAATTATTTCTTGGTAATTTGTAGTGTAGAAAAAAATAACCAACTTATTGTAAGTGTATATAGGTAGATCAATTACCCGGCGTTGCCCGGAAACAAATTCGTGATAAATGAAATAAAGCCATGTATTACCATTTACCTTCTTAAATACATAAGGTTAGGATACTAAACTTAAAAAAACTACGTTTTTTGAAAAGTAATTTTTATTATTTTGGAAAAATACTACATAACTACCGATTAACCAATATTTCTTTATAAACTATATTATTAGTTTTTTCACCAGGGGCATAAATGTATAAGTTTTTTTCTGAGCTTACACGGGAGCAGGCAACATAAAATTGTCCGTGAGTGAAGCATGGATCGCTGATGTCAATTCCTGCAACTTTCATTGTCTGTCCTTGTGCCTTATTAATTGACATAGCAAAACAAAGTTTAACTGGAAATTGGACACGTTTAAATTCGAAGGGGTACTCGTTTGTTATCATTGGTATTCTTGGGATATATACCATTTGACCACTCGCTGAGCCGGTAAGAATTTCAGCTTCAATAAGGGTTTTTTTTCAAAGATAATATTTTTAATCTGGTTCCATTGCACAATTTGGGAGCATTTAAATTTCGCATGAGAATAATAGGCGCACCGATTTTTAAATCAAGTTTGTGTGGGGGGAGACCTGATGGATTTAATGAGTTAAGAAATTCAGTCAGGATATCTATAGCTTCATCTTGATTAGTAAGTGTATCTATGGAAATATAGTTTTTTTTATCAGCTTCGAACATGGAAAGAACTTTTTCGTTTATGATGTTGACGATGTCGTTTTTAGGGGCCAAAATTGCACGTTCACGGAGCCATTCATTGGATTTATTGGAAAGATGAGAAATTTCAGGATAAACTTTGTTGATTAAGTTATTTTGATCAAGAACCGAAATTGCAAATGTAGAATTTATGTGTATTATTTATATTATCATCATTATTATCGCTGTTAATATTGCAGTTATCTGGCGAGCCATTGTTATTTTGACTTAATCTAAGTAAACGTTGACGTTTTATATTCCGTGTGTTCCTAAATTCATCAGATTGGTCAGCCGCTGGAGGGGAGGTAATCAAGCCGATTGACTTATCAGCAATCTGCTATTCTAAAGGATGGACTGAAATGAAACCCGATGGATTTGATAACAATATGCAAAAGTTTAGGAACACACGGTATATTCGATGAACGACCTAAATTAATTTTCCTTTTCATTGTGATAAATTTTAATAATTAAAAGAAACGAATAAAAAATAAAAAATTATAGAAATTATTGTAATTTACTTATTATTAGTACTGTTACAGGCATCTTGAATATTCGACAATTCATCGATAGTCGATACACAAACATTAAGCAGCGTTCAGACTTTTACGAAGCTTCTCTTAAAATGTCGGTCCTTCGTTCACCATAATTCGGTGAATTTCTATAGAATATGCGAGAAATTGTGTTTTTTTTTTGTGTTTACATAGATTATGTTATTATCATTGATTAAATACAAATAGATAGCCCATTTCAATGTAGATTTTGGAAACAGTCATTTTAGTGTTATTATGATTTCATAGATGGCGTCTACAGTTTTGTTGCATAATAATAATAAACATTTCATGTAATAAATTTTATAATATAGCATAGACATCAACTATCGGCAATCGATGAACGCAGACAACCGAACTATTTTTATACATGATAATATAAAAATAAACTTGTCTCCTATATAATAGAAGAAAAATACGATGGCACGTCCCGGTGTCGATTTGTTCATGCAATAATAAATTATGTTATGCTTTCTATCTATATTTTAATAACAAAATTATTTAATACTGGTGCCGCCGTGCTGGTGTGGTTTTCATGGTTATTAATTGTTTTACGTATTGTAATTTTTTGAAAACACTAATAAATGAAACTATTACATATTCAAACTGTTATTTCTATTTTTTTTTCAAAATCCAAAAAATGCATACAATTTCAGTTATTCATTTTTTTTATAAA